AAATGAGACGCCGAAAAACAGTGGTAGAAACCAGAATAATAAAGAACTGCATAACATAGTGTGGATGCTTACGCATCCACACTATAATAATAATAATAATAAAGAAATAATTGGAAAACATAGTATGAATGCTGAATCAGCATCCATACAATAATAATAAAGAAATAGATAATTGAAAAACATAGTATGGATTTGGGCTTGAATTCCTTAATTATTTGTAAAGGAGAGTCTTCTTCTTTTAAAACCAAATATTATGTACTGTATTTAGTCTTGGAGGAAGAGGTTTTAAACCCCCACTTGTCTGCCCACTCCTCTACAGAGACTGAAGCTCCTTGAACTTATTGTAGAGTGAACTCAGCATTTTTAGAGTACCTCTTTACCAAATTGCACCATTATCTGCATATAATGACTGTCTGAACCTTTCCCCAGCATTTCCAAATATGTCATTTACTGTGATGATAGAGATCTGGGGAGAACAGTTCCCCATGCAGTTCTGTTTTCCATTTTGGCTGTTCTTGAGCTATATCTGTCTCTTTCCTGTATTGATCTTTTCACAGGGAAGTCCTTTGTTCAATTTAATATTCTGCCTCTAATTGCTAAATGGTGAAGTTTAACTAATACACCTCATTTCCACAGAGAAACATGTGACATGCAGCTTCTGACATCTTTGTAGGTTGAAGAGATTCATGTAAATGTTGGTTTTTTCATCCTCTTTCCCACTAGAGAAAATCCATGTTCCTTGAAAGCACAGATGTCTCTAGGGTAACCCAGGGGAAAAATGTCAGAGAGAAATTGCCTGTCTGCTTTTCTCCCATTATGCATGGAGGATAAAAGCAGGGTGAATCTGCTTTCCATATTCTTTTTGTCAGGTGTTGAACCCACTTGCTTTCATTTTCTCTGCTATAAAGACTTCAACACATCATGACCATTGATCTGCAGAGCTGATGGACAGGTACTGCAAGAATGACAATGATTTCCCTCTGTGCATGAGGAGAGCTAGTTCTGATAGAATACCTGATGAGCCGAATGCGCCGGCTCTATGCAGGTGAGTGCCGCAGGCAAAAGAAGCACTCCAGGGCAGCAGGAGAGGGCGCAGGAGATGCCAGTAAGATGAGCAGGTCCACGGCAGAGAAGGCAGTAAGATGATGTGAAGAAAACTGACAATGGAGATCCAAAATCATAGTAAGAGCAGGTAAGAGTCACGGCACCACTTGGTGCTGAGAGAAACAAAACGAGGGGAAAGAATCCAGACAAACTGATGCCTCAAACGTCCACAAATTGACAGCATACAGTTCCAAACATCATAAAGTCAGGGTTAACAACAGGTAAGCAGTTCATCAGCATAGGGTCTGGGCATGGCTGCCATGCAAAGTTACTGGTGGTATTACAGGTGATCATCTGGCAACAAGAACACACCAACGCTCTCCTTAAGTACTGCTCTGATAATTTAGAGCAGGTGTGCCTCGTCGCCTGGAATTCACTCCCACCTGTGCAAGGGTGGTGCTACTGGGATTACTCATACCAGCTGACGAGGTGTTGGGCCTGGGCCACGGATGTAACATTAAAATAAAAGCACACTGGCAGATAACACCAAAAGCCTCTCTTCTGAAAGAGATTAGTTAATGCTGTTTGTCTCTCAGGAGTGTTTTGGAGAAGGTGGTGTGGGATTTGACACATCTGTCTCATTTCCTGCATACACTCCGGTGTTAGTGCTAATTTGCATGTTGCCATCTGTAGCTATCTGAGCTCTCATTCTAGGCATTAATAGCTGAAACACGTGTACACACACTTTACTACTTGTGTATAGAATCTCACGCACACACAGGCTGTTCAGGGTGGAAATACGCTACAAATAGCTGGTGTTAGGTATCTGGTGATATGCGCCAAAAGAGTCAAAACAGGCATGTGATGACCACCAGTGCCATTGTTTTCCTTCATCCTTAACCTCTAATCTGAAAAAGCAGAACCAGTCCCTTCTGCACTGGTTCCCTATCTGACATGACGTGAAATATATCCAGGGGGTCTCTGTCCTCTGTTGGCCCAGATAAATCACCCATTCTCACTTTCTACCATCCAGCAAATATTCAAAGTCACCCCAACCAGGTACACAGGAGACCTGCTGCTATTGTGGTCCAAAAATACACACTATCATAACCAACCAGAGTTTTGATTAATGAGGACGTTTGATGAAAATCAGGTCACTTTTACTCAGATGTGTCATACACACTACTGTGTAGTGTTTATTTATTTTATTAATTTAACTACAACATTTTCACAATTCACCATTTTATATTTAAATTCAGAAACACCAGAACTGAGAAGGCCACTGCTATAATTAATAAAGGTCTTACACAGAGACAGGTACACTGGAAATGGGATGTTTTGACTGTCAAAATAAAGGCCTTGTCATTTTGGTTACTGTTCAGAAAGTTGTAATTGTGGCCTGACATTAGTTTAAAGCCCTAGAAATAGTGTCAAGCCTAATAGAAACATCTGGAAAAACTATATAAACAGGTGACAACGGGTACAATCTGTACAATTCAAAGCATTTAAGGACACACAAATGTATTCTGTCAGAAATTAATATAATGAATCAAAGACAAAATTTGACCTGGAACATTTAGAAGAAGAGTTAGTATAATACTTGTGTGGTGTAGAAGAGAATTATTTACTGCTTGCAAACCAATGATGGTAAGATGATGTCATGGGGTAGGACTGGATAAGTCTGACTTCTTCCTACTCCATTCAAGCATGTACTAGGTATAAGCAAATTGATATTGGATTATGTGTAAATTATGTGTTGTCATATCAACTGTCTTTACATGCTTGAAAGAATAAATCAAATCAATCAAATCAAATCTGTAACAAATTAGTTTGAACTTAATTTTGTTAATTTCTTCTAGTTTTTTAGCATCAGTAGAATATTTTTTGCAGGATAACCTACAGTATATCATTCTTCAACAGGATCCTGGACTTGACTGTTTTACCCTCATTGTGCAAATGAAGTTGCTGTACTGTATAGATTGCCAAATGGCCCTATGGGCGCAGGCCTGGACACCCAAAAGGCCACCCCATCAGGGGGGCTTCCAAACCCGCCCATGAAGTGTCTGTTACTGACATGGAAACTCAAAGAGCACAGTCAAAAGAAGGGCTGTCCAATGTTCTGCTCCTATGCAGCTTAAGTTTTTTAATATTTAAGCAGTTGTCTATGTTTGTTATAATTGATACATACTGTGGATGCTGACTCAGCATCCATACTATGTTTTCCTGGTCTTTCTTTATTGTATGGATGCTGACTCAGCATGGCCAGCCCATTCAGGTATCAAAATGTTTGGCCTTTTCAGGACATGCGCGGATGTATACAACTTTTGTGTAACTTTTATACTTTTTAAAATATTGAGCTTTATTCTGAAAATTTTTCCTTATTCAAATGAATGGGAAAATTTTTACTTCTTTATACTTTCAGCTATTTCAGCTATCAAAATGTTCAGCTCTCCAAGGACATTCATACTACTATTCCGAAGTTTTCAAAACTTCATACATTTTAAATATTCAGCTTTATTTTGAAAATCTTGCCCCATTCAAATGAATGGGAAAATTCTACTTCAGCAAACTTTCAGCTATTTCAACCATCAAAATATTCAGCTCTTCAAGGACATTCATACTTCTTTTTCAGATCTTTTGAAAACTTCATACATTTTTAAATATTCAGCTTTATTTTGAAAATCATGCCCCATTCAAATGAATGGGAAAATTTTTACTTCTTTATACTTTCAGCTATTTCAGCTATCAAAATGTTCAGCTCTTCAAGTAGATTCATGCTTCTATTCAGAAGTTTTCTAAACTGCATATCTTTAAAATATTTAGCTTTATTTTGAAAATGGTGCCCATTCAAACAAATGGGGGAAATTCTACTTCTGCATACTTTCAGCTATTTCAAGGTATGAAAATGTTCAGCTCTTCAAAGACATTCATGCTTCTCTTCAGAAGTTTTCTAAACTTCATACTTTTGAAATATTTAGCTTTATTTTGAAAATCTTGCCCAATTCAAATGAATGGGAAAATTCTAATTCAGCACACTTTCAGCTCTTTCAGGTAATAAAATGTTCAGCTTTTCAATGACATTCATGCTTCTCTTCAGAGGTTTTCTAAACTTCCTACTTTGTAAATATGTAGCTTTATTTTGAAAATCTTGCCGCATTCAAATGAATGGGGAAATTCTACTTCAGCATAATTTTAGCTATCAAAATGTTCAGCTCTTCAAGGACATTCATGCTTCTATTCAGAGGTTTTCTAAACTTCATACTTTCAAAATATTTAGTTTTATTTTGAAATCTTGCCCCATTCAAATGAGTGAGAAAATTCAACTTCAGCATAATTTCAGCTATCAAAATGTTCAAGTCCTCAAGGACATTCATGCTTCCCTTCAGAATTTTTCCAAACTTCATACTCTTGAAATATTTAGCTTTATTTTGAAAATCTTGCCCCAGTCAAGTGAATGGGGAAATTCCAACTTCAGCATACTTTCAGCTAGCAAAAGCATTCAGATATTAAAATATTCAGCATTTTCAGGGCGATCTTTCAGCACTCAGCATCCATACGCATTTTCTTCAGCAATTTTCTAGACCTTGATTTCAGGCATTTTCAAGGCAATCCTTCAGCACTCAGCATCCACACGCATTTTCAACAGGAAATGCATTTCTCTAGTTATTACATATTTCTCATATAATACACATGCACAGCCCAGCTTCAGTGGGTCCACTTAAAATGAACAAAGTACCTGGCGTAGCGTTTAACAGCTTGAACAACTCTCGATAAATCTGGATATATTATATTATCCGTTTATTTCTCGATCTCATTCATAAGTTATCCTCGGTTCTCCACCTGTTCTGTCCCATGGAATATTAACAGCTGCACTCCATTGTGGCCACACCGCCAAGCCTGGGGGTTTCTGTCCCGCTATTCCCTCGAATAAACCTCGTGCTATTTCGGTGTTTCTGTTCCATTTCCGGTTTTCTCTTCGCTCACTAATCCCCATTCGCACCGGCAGGTGTGACATGTTACGTGTGCATTTCTCCGTATTGACAGAGCTTCTCTGAGCGCTCCGTGGGCTCCCGGTGATCCTGGACGAATTTGTGTGAAATGCGCCTGTAGTTATATTCAGCTTTGCAGACATGGAGCCTCCGGACTTCGAAGCCATGAACTTCACGGTGGAGCCGGCAGTGGCAGCGTACCCGCTGTGTGAGCAGTGGAGAGACGGCTCGGAGGGCTCCGTGTTCCACCTCGCAAATATCTTGCTCGTCCTCGGGTTCATGGGCGGCAGCGGCTTGTATGGGCTCCTCTACCTGTTCACCTTCCTGACTTTGGGCTTCTTCTGCTCTGTTCTTTGGGCATGGTCCGACACCTGCACAATGGACTCTTTCCTGTGGAGTTTCGCGCTCTTCGGCGTGTGTCTGGGGCAAGTCCTCTATGTTGCCTACATGCTGAGAGGCGCTTCCTTTGAGAAGGAGCTCCAGGAGCTTTACAACTGCATGTTTAAAAAGCTAGGAGTGTCGCTAACACATTTTGGGAAGATAGTGGCCTGCTGTGACGGAGACATCCACGCCATAGAGAAGGACCACTGCTTCGCCATAGAAGGAAAAACCCCCATCGACAAGCTGTCGGTGCTGCTGTCCGGCAGGTGACCGCTAGTGCATGTACACACCAGAAGGCTGTTTGCTAAAGAGACACGTTTTAAAATAAAGCTTAAGGAAAACATAACGTGACTTTTTTCAGATCCTGTCAATTTTACACTGACATTAGAAATTTCAGCTTAAAAACTGGAGTCCCACTTGGTCTATATCAAGGAGCTCAATTTGTCAAACATGGCTCTCAAAAAGGACCAAAATAATTCTATAATACAAGGAGTAACAGGAGTCATTCTTGAGACGTACTGTAGGGACTAAACTCGACCCGACGGTAACAATGGATCCGTTTTTCTGATTTGGAGAAAAAATTGCAATTCTGAAGCAGCCATTGAGAGATATGTGATTCTCTATATATGTATAATTATTTATATTGTGGAACGCATTGGGGAGGTAGGAAATAATGATAAAGAGTTTTTTTTTGGGGGGGGGATATATTTATTTGTGCAAAAGTAAAGTTACAGTCCAACATAACAGAGCATAGCGTCATAACAGCACGTTACGGTCTAACCACTGGGGCATGCTAGGAAATCATAAAGATATAGCTGAGAATTGTTAAAAAAAAATACTACAGTAAGTAAACAAATTTAATTTACATCTGGATGAGAATTTGGTGTGTGCTTGCAGAGTGCTCTATATTTATTTGTCTGCTTGAGCATGAGATGTGTGAATTAGGCTGAGAATAGCCTGAGTTCACCGAAAGATCTCTTGGATTTTTCTGCCTGAGATCAAAAAGAGGCGCAAACATTCTGAAAATCTGAGAATTACTGTAGAGCTTGATGAGATTTCCTTTGAAACCTAAAAAGAGGCTAATTTGAGATTTTGGGTTTTTCTTTTTCTTTTTGTGGAGAAAAAAAGAGACGGAAGCAATAAGCCATAGTCTCACTTTGGTTTCACACAGACCTCATATTGTCTAGGAGAAACAAATGAAACCTTTTTTAGATCTCTTTCCTAATTTCCTTTTCCTCTGGGGTACCTAAATTCTGGATAAATGAATACACTCATGTATTCCAAGTGATAATTTGATGACTCAGACATCACATTGACAGTGTTTGTAGTGACTGCAGTAATAAGACCTTGTAGAGAGACATTGTGCGAGCACTGACTCTGCAACCATATTTTTCCTTATTTTGTTTGCTTTTGCATGTGTCCCAACTTAAACACAAGAGATTTTTAAACATGTAGTTTGTTCATATTAACAATCTGACAGGAAATGCCATATTTGGACTTGGAAGTGCCTTTTTCATGTTTAATTGCATATTACAGACATTTTTTGTTTCTTTTTCTGTTATCTCAGTATTATAGGGTAATTGTTCATCAGGTCACTAGAAACACTGAGCTCAGGATAGAGACTGAGAATAGGAGCTTCTATTGTAGACATGTATATAATGTATGTGCAGCACGGGTGTAATGCATAAAGTGTTTGTGCATTCACATTTAGAGAACATTTGACACTGAAAAAAAACATTTAACATATTTTGAAGTGTTGAATTGCATAAAATGTATACTGTATGCTTTGCCACACCCCCAGTCACTGATGTTATAGGTTCCCCAGCTGTTAATGCCAGGACATCTGCTGTGATACAGTACTACTAGCTGAATTCACATATGAGCTCCAGACAATGTCTGGACATTGTCCAGAGTTGCCCTTTCACATATATAGCCTATGTCAATTGTGATCTCACTTGATGGAAATACTCCATTTAGATTATGTGAGGGTGGCACCTGAGTAGAGCGTACATACGGATGAAGATTTGGGCCACTGTAAAAAATTTGAGTTCTGACTTTAATGCAACGTTCACACTGCTCAAATCCGAACTTTTTGCCCAAATGTGACCCCTATCCGATTTCCTTATGACAGTGTGAACGGCACAAATCCACTTTTTTCAAATCCGGCCCAGGCCACTTTCATATGTGGTCCTAAATCGGATACATATCCGACTTCAGTCTGAACGGCCATGTTGCATTTCATGCGATTTTTTTTTTTATTTTTATGTCATTGAAATGCGACAGACGTCACAATTCTGCGCTGGCGGAGGCAAGACCTTAAGCAGTATTTGTGCTCTCCTTCTTGTTGATATTCTTATTATTATTTCTTTATTTTGATTGCACATTAACTGGTACATCACTATGCACATGGTATCACGAGCCGCATCCATTTTTATTTTCGCAAACACAGTACGCTGCGTCTGACATCACATCCTCTTCTGCGCATGCGGGTCACCTCAGGGCCATATACTGTTCACACATGAGACAGATGGCAGTCGCATTTAAATGACAGTGTGAACAACAGCGCAAAAAATTGGATTTCGGCAAAAAATCCGATCTGAGCATCAAGACCTGCAGTGTGAACGTAGTCTAAGTCAGACTTTTTAAAAAAGTCTGAATTCTGAGATTAAAGTCAGAATTTAAGAAAAAAGTCAGAACTCAAATTATTTATAGTAACCCTAATCTTTCACACACACAGGAGGCAGGACATGATGCAAAAAAGTACACACACATAGTTGGCTTGTAATTTGATCATAAACAACTGAGTCTCTTGCTCTTTCTTGAAATCGCTTGATGAATTCAGCATCAGCTCTTGATGACAGAAGTTGCCAAATCTTGTCTTCTCTCCAGTTAGACATTTTCTTTGGTGTCTTCACTGTAAATGGCCCTTCTTCTTTACTGATTTCATACCACTCACGTGATACAGGGTAGCCCATGGAAAAGTCGCCCATGTACTCGAGAGCGTATTGGAGGCAGGCTACTTTTCCATGGGCCACCCTGTAGAATGTCATCAACACACCCACTAGTTTGGTGAACATTTGTATTCTCACATACCTCAAGGTACTGTCTAGATAACATCAGGGATGCAGTGCATGTGTGAAAAGGGCTACTGACATTTTAGCAACTGTTGTTGTGTCCTGTGTGATTTGGTGTCATCTTGCCCTTCATGATAGTGTGTCCCAATGGAACATTAATTTGAACTTTCCATCCATTCCTTACAGAATCCGTGTGACAGTTAATGGAGAGTTTCTGCATTACATCTACCCTTTCCAGTTTTTGGATTCACCTGAGTGGGACTCTCTCAGACCATCGGAGGAGGGTGTTTTCCAGGTTCACTTTAACTTGTGTGCATGTACTTGTGTACAGAATCATTTCCCTGTCAATTCATGAAACCCTGTGCTAGCATTCATCAGATTTTGCTGCCTGCCCTGCAGTAGGCAAGAGACAGGAATTGTTTGACACACCATACACTGGAGTAAGAGTCTATGTATGTATGTATGTGTGTATATACAGTAAAAAAAAAATAAAAATACATTTCCCACTCGCCCCCCACTTTGGGGCGGTCCTGTATTCCCTCCTTCAAGCTCGGGTCCTCTACCAGAGGCCTGGGAGCTTGAGGGTCCTGCGCAGTATCTTAGCTGTTCCTAGGACTTCACTCTTCTGGACAGAGATCTCATACTTGCTCCTGGGATCTGTTGGAGCCACTCTCCCAGTCTGGGGGTCACAGCCCCCAATGTTCCTATTATCTCAGGGACCACTTGTGCCTTCACCTTCCACATCTTTTGTAGTTCTTCTTTCAGCCCTTGGTATTTCTCCAGCTTCTCGCATTCCTTCTTCCTGATGTTGCTATTGCGTGGGATTGCTACATCTATCACTACGGCCTTCTTCTGTTTGTCCACCACTACTATGTCGGGTTGGTTGGCCATTACCAGTATGTCAGTTTGTATCTTGAAGTCCCACAGGATCTTAGCTTGGCCATTCTCCACCACCTTTGGAGGTGCATCCCATTTTGACTTTGGGACTTCCAGCCTGTACTTGGCACAGATGTTTCTGTACACTATGCCAGCCACTTGTTTATGGTGTTCCATGTATGCCCTACCTGCTAGCATCTTGCATCCCACTGTTATGTGCTGGATTGTCTCAGGGGCATCTTTGCACAGCCTACACCTGGGGTCCTGTCTGGTATGGTAGACCCCTTGCGCCCTCTATTATATATAGGGCCATGTGCTTATGAATCAAAAGCCAATCTGAATCAAATTGTGACACCAAGAAGTGGAATTAAATCAAACCGTGGATTCGCCAAAGATTCCCACCCCTATTAAGTGCAGTATTAGGTACTATATGGTCTATGTTCTCTAGTATGGCCAGTGCTTCTGAAGAATTTTATAAAATCTGTTTGAATTAGGTTATTTATCCATTTATTTTTAGAAAACAAATCCAGTTACTGAAGAGTATTATTTTAAAATTTGTTAAATTATTAAAATGTCAACTTAGCTGGAATATTTATGCTAAATTTGACCTTGGTTTGATTTTTATCTGACACCATTAAGGAATAATTCTGGTTTACTACAACTTGGCTCATACAGTTGCTTCAAAGTTTTGTTCACCTGTTCCCAGATCTCAGCAATTCATTTTGTTAGTAAAACTGATCATCAGCAAAAGTATACAGTTATCCAAGCTGTAACTTGCACACATGAATGCCACCTCATTTTCATGTCTTTGGCTGCACCTGTCTTGTTTTCTTTGTTAAATGTATTATTTTTCCACAGGTGACCCTGCGTGCTGATAACCCCTGCAGATTTGTGGCGTGGAGGAGGAAGAAACTCTATCTGCTTTTTGCTAAGCATCGCTACATAGCCAAGATATTTGGCCTGGTTGTGCGCAATGACATTGCAGAGAAGCTGTACTCCCTTAATGAACAGGCTTTTGACAGGGCCGGGCACCACTATGATCTCCGCTTACCAAGTTACTGTCACATACCAGGGACCGAATTAGAAAAAACAGATGTCCTCTTACAAGTGCCGATACAGAGTGGAAGAAGTGTCTGAACACACACACACACACACACACACACTACTCCGGGCCTAAAACGCTTGGAAGTGACTCACTGTGTGCAGTAATGGGTGTCATTTAGGAAGGGCAAAGTATGGTATTATCTGTACCATGTAGGGTAAATAGGTTTAAAGTGATATTATGTCAAATCTGGCCACATATTCATCAAATCTCAACGTGCAAATTACAGTGCCTTGCGAAAGTATTCGGCCCCCTTGAACTTTGCGACCTTTTGCCACATTTCAGGCTTCAAACATTAAGATATAAAACTGTATATTTTTGTGAAGAATCAACAACAAGTGGGACACAATCATGAAGTGGAACGAAATTTATTGGATATTTCAAACGTTTTTAACAAATAAAAAACTGAAAAATTGGGCGTGCAAAATTATTCAGCCCCCTTAAGTTAATACTTTGTAGCGCCACCTTTTGCTGCGATTACAGCTGTAAGTCGCTTGGGGTATGTCTCTAACAGTTTTGCACATCAAGAGACTGAAATTTTTGCCCATTCCTCCTTGCAAAACAGCTCAAGCTCAGTGAGGTTGGATGGAGAGCGTTTGTGAACAGCAGTTTTCAGTTCTTTCCACAGATTCTCAATTGGATTCAGGTCTGGACTTTGACTTGGCCATTCTAACACCTGGATATGTGTATTTGTGAACCATTCCATTGTAGATTTTGCTTTATGTTTTGGATCATTGCCTTGTTGGAAGACAAATCTCCGTCCCAGTCTCAGGTCTGTTGCAGACTCCATCAGGTTTCCTTCCAGAATGGTCCTGCATTTGGCTCCATCCATCTTCCCATCAATTTTAACCATCTTCCCGGCCCCTGCTGAAGAAAAGCAGGCCCAAACCATGATGCTGCCACCACCATGGTTGACAGTGGGGATGGTGTGTTCAGGGTGATGAGCTGTGTTGCTTTTACACCAAACATAACGTTTTGCATTGTTGCCAAAAAGTTCGATTTTGGTTTCATCTGACCAGAGCACCTTCTTCCACATGTTTGGTGTGTCTCCCAGGTGGCTTGTGGCAAACTTTAAACGACACTTTTTATGGATATCTTTAAGAAATGGCTTTCTTCTTGCCACTCTTCCATAAAGGCCAGATTTGTGCAGTATACGACTGATTGTTGTCCTATGGACAGAGTCTCCCACCTCAGCTGTAGATCTCTGCAGTTCATCCAGAGTGATCATGGGCCTCTTGGCTGCATCTCTGATCAGTCTTCTCCTTGTATGAGCTGAAAGTTTAGAGGGACGGCCAGGTCTTGGTAGATTTGCAGTGGTCTGATACTCCTTCCATTTCAATATTATCGCTTGCACAGTGCTCCTTGGGATGTTTAAAGCTTGGGAAATCTTTTTGTATCCAAATCCGGCTTTAAACTTCTCCACAACAGTATCTCGGACCTGCCTGGTGTGTTCCTTGTTCTTCATGATGCTCTCTGCGCTTTAAACGGACCTCTGAGACTATCACAGTGCAGGTGCATTTATACGGAGACTTGATTACACACAGGTGGATTCTATTTATCATCATTAGTCATTTAGGTCAACATTGGATCATTCAGAGATCCTCACTGAACTTCTGGAGAGAGTTTGCTGCACTGAAAGTAAAGGGGCTGAATAATTTTGCACGCCCAATTATTCAGTTTTTTATTTGTTAAAAAAGTTTGAAATATCCAATAAATTTCGTTCCACTTCATGATTGTGTCCCACTTGTTGTTGATTCTTCACAAAAAATTACAGTTTTATATCTTTATGTTTGAAGCCTGAAATGTGGAAAAAGGTCGCAAAGTTCAAGGGGGCCGAATACTTTCGCAAGGCACTGTAGGTAGGAGCTGGCAGACTTGTCAGCAAATTTGGTCTGTCAGGCATGTAAGACCAGGTTAATGTGATTGATAGCCCAAGAAATTTGTTAGCTACAGTACATTAGCTTGTTGTTCCTTATACTTTAATTACAGTCATGGCCAAAAATATCAACACCCCTGCATTTCCGTCACATAACGCACCACTTCTCCCAGAAAACCGTTGCAGTGACAAAGTCTTTGGTATTCTCATGTTTATTTCTTCTGTTTGCATTGTAACAACATAAACAGCAAGGGAAAAAGTCAAATCTGATGGATTCCACACAGAACTCCAAAAATGGACTGGACACAATTATTGACACCTTCTCAAATCATCAGAAAGAGTTCTTCCAGCATGTGATGCTCCTTTAATTTGTAATGAAACTCACCTGTAGCAATCAACAGGTGATGGCAACATAGAAATCACACTTGCAACCAGTTAAAATGGAGAAATGTTGACTCAACCTTTGTGTCATGTGGACCACACTGAGCATGGAGAGAAGAAAGAAGAGCAAAGAATTGTCTGAGGATTTGAGAAGCACAATAGTGGAAATGCCTGGACAGTCTCAAGGCTCCAAGTCCATCTCCAGAGATCTGGCTGTTCCTGTGTCCACTGGGCGCAGCATTGTCAAGATGTTTACAGCTCATGACGTAGGAGCTAATCTCCTGGACATGGACGAAAGAGAAAAATAGATGACAGATTGCAACCGAGGATTGTTCAAATGGTGGATAAAGAAAAGCTATCAACTTCCAAACAAATTCAAGCTGACCTGCAGGCACAGGGTGCAACAATGTCAGCTCGCACTATCTGTCACCATCTGAATGACAAGGGACACTATGGTAGGAGACCCAGGGGCCCCACTGCTGACACAGAAACATAAAGAAGCCAGACTGAAGTTTGCCAAAACTTACCTGAGGAAGCCATAGTCCTTCTGGGAGAATGTCCTGTCGACAGATGAGACTAAAGTAGAGCTTTTTGGTCGAGTAGGTCATTCTACTGTTTTCAGAAAATGTCACGAGGCCTTCAAAGAAAAGAACACAGTCTCAGTGGTGCGGTGGGTAGAGCAGTCATCTCCCAGCCAGAAGGTTGAAGGTTCGAGTCTTGGTGCCAGCAGTCCTCGTGTCGAAGTGTCCTTGGGCAAGACACTGAACCCCCCCCGTTGGCCCCGATGGTTAGAGCCATCGGTTGAGGTGGGGCCACAGATGGCTGCCATCGGTTCTGTACCAGAAACAAATTCCTTGTGTGTAACATACTTGGCCAATAAAGGTGATTATCCTTATCCTACAGTAAAACACGGTGGAGGTTCACTGATGTGTTGGGGTTGCTTTGCTGCTGCTGTCTTGACTGTGTGTATGGCATTATGAAATCTGAAGACCACCCACGAATGCTGGGACACAATGCAGGGCCCAGTGTCAGAAAACTGGGTCTCCATCAGAGGTCAAAGGTCTTACAGCAGGACAATGACCCAAAGCAGACTTCAAAAAGCACCAGAAATGGTTTCAGACAAAGAGCTGGAGAGTTCTGAAGCTGCCAGCAATGAGTCCAGATCTAAATCCCATAGAGCTGTGGAGAGATCTCAGAACAGCAGCTTGGAGAAGGAAGCCTTCAAATCTGAGACCTGGAGCAGCTGGCAAAAGAAGAATGGTCCAAAACTCCAGTAGAGAGGTGGAAGAAACTCACTGATGGTTACAGGAAGAGACTGATCTGTTATTTTGTCCAAAGGGTGGGCTACCAAATATTAAGTTGAGGGTGTCAATAATTCTCTCCAGTCCATGTTTGGAGTTCTGGGTGGAATAGATCACATTTGGTTTTTTTCTGCTTTTTTGTTCCAATGCAAACAAAAGAAATAAACATGAGAATACCAAAGAATTTGTGATTGCAACAGTTTACTGGGAGAAGTGGTGCGTTATGTGACAAATGCAGGGGTGCCAATATTTTTGGCCATGACTGTAGCTTTCTGATGGGACTTTGCAGGAAGATGTGGTGGAGTTAGGTGGCTGAAAACAATATAGGTGAAAAACTAGAATAGGTCTATAGAACTGCTTAGTTTTCAGGATCAATATTTGCTTTAAAAGAACCATTTAACATTTTGGAAACATGAGGTTTTTGTCATTTGTTTAATATGACACAAGCAGAAGTGTAAAAATTACGTCATTTTATGGGGGAGTTGATGCCAAATTTGTCTCTTGATAAACAGTGTTTCAGTGTTCCTGTGGAGTGTCTCTGTTTATGGGGCTGCCAGAATCTGTCTGTCAGCATAGTTGGTCTCTATTTAAGGACAAAGATAGAAAAGCTGGCAACCCTGTGACAGTAAGTCTTCAGGAAGCCATGCATGGCCAGCCAACTATAATAGTGCTGAGCTGTAAGGCCAGTGGCGTAGTGACAACACATTATTGCAGGATGTGACGTTCACTGAATGAAAATTACTCAACTAATACAAAAGGAACAGCTGAGAATTAGTTTTGTCTGAGCATCACAAAGACCATGAAATGACTCTTCCAATTAAATTTGAACCAAATTTGGCAATATTGAAATGCCTCAAAGTGATTTTTCAGTACATTGTAGGTCATACTATTCATGTGTGTGTGGAGCTAACAGCTAATCCGACAGCTCATGCAGAATAAGTCTCAAATATGCACACTCTGAGCTGTTTCAGCGGAAGAAGGTTTCTAATGCTCAGGCTGGAAAATGTTTTTGTGCACATGTTCCCTGTTAGTAATTTGATGAATGGGGAGCCATCTCGGCATCCGCTTCTCATAGTACTCAGTCACTGTGACTGGCTGTTGTTTGTCAAGAAATAGCTTTCTCAGGAAAAAAGAGAAAATACATGTTCTTTAGAATGTTGGAATACACAGTGAAGCTGGTCATTGTGGTTGTGCCCACCTACAGATCTTCCAATTTAAATCTCATTTATACAGTGATAGCCGTGTACTACCTGCATGTCTGTCGACTGTAGGAGGAAGCCACAGTACAAGAAAAACCCCACAGAGGTATGGGAGAGCATGCAAAGTCCACACAGATACTGATAGACCAGCTCTTAATTGTGTAATAAGGGTTTTTCCATTATAGGAACCTACTGAAATGTGTCACGCCATGTAACACTTGTCACGGGTTCTGCATTTGTTTACACTGCCTTCTGCCTGCTTTGGAGGTGTGTTCTGGCAGCTAAATTTCAGCACCCCTCAGGGGTTAGTACTAAAATCAAGTACCAGGAATGTGAGGGGGGAAGGCAGAGCATGCATGCAGAGCAGTTGCTAGTGATTGGTTAAATGTTCTCGTCTTCACACCTAAAGTATTAGAATTACAAGCACCGTGTGTAAACACACAGCTGACTGTGTGCGTGAGAGTCAGTCTCTAAACAGAGAGATGCAC